TGCAGATCGAGCCAACCAGGTCAGCCAATCAGACTCGTCGGAGCACGTCTCTACTTCAGACCCACCCCCTGGATTCGAGAAAGCCAAAAGCAAAGCCAAGAGGGCCAAAAAGAAAGCCACAAGGGGGATTCACATGCCCATGCCTTTCAAAAAGAACCTATCCAAGCTGAAGTATGGTAAGAAAGCAGGTATATCTAAACTTTCATCTTCTTCATCTGTCTCCACTCCTCCAATTCTTTCTAGTGCGCTGGAGAGATTAGAGGAAATCTCTGTCAACTGTGGTATCCAAGAACCGATAGATCCCCAAGGGTTAATTGACATCCACAATAGGTTGTCCGAAGATGTCCTCCCCCTCTGAGTCTCCCCCTCCTCTCAAGTTGAATCTCTTTTGTTCCCATGCGCATTGGATCTTGGAATGTTAGAGGGTTAAACAACCCACCCAAACGTAGGTTGGTAAGGGAATGTCTCTCCTTGGCAAAAGTTAACCTTGTAGGTCTGCAAGAATCCAAATTGTCTTCCCCTAGGCCTTCTCTTCTTAAATCCCTGGGGGGCAGCAATATCTCATCCTGGATTTCTCTCGATGCCAATGACACAAGGGGAGGGGTCCTTCTGGGGTGGAATGACAATTGGAGCTTTGTAGCCACTTGCATTTACGCTCCATGTGACTCCTCAGATAGAGAGGTATGCTGGTGGGAAATAGAAAAAATAAGAGGCTCCCATTCTCTTCCATGGGTGGTTTTTGGTGATTTCAACATGACTCTTAGTTCTGAAGAAAGAAGTGGCCGTTTGAGTTCCTCTCGAGACATCAAAGTATTCAATAATCTTATTGATTCTGTCCAGCTCTTAGACCTCCCCCTCAGTGGGAGACTGTTCACCTGGTCCAACCATAGATCCCCTCCTTCTCTAGCCAGGTTGGATAGGTTCTTAGTTTCTCTGGATTTCGAATCCAAATTCCCCCATATGGTCCAGTTTGCTTATCCACCCTCATGCTCAGACCACTGTCCCATTGTTCTGGACACAGTTTCCCATTTTATCCCCTCTCCTCTCTTCAGATTTGAAAAAATGTGGCTTTCGCTCCCTTCCTTCTCATCCTTTATAGAATCCAGTTGGAAATCCTTTCACCTGCATCAGGATCATAAAATTCCCCTTCTTTTCAAACTCAAACTCATTAAAAGAAGAATCATATGGTGGAGGAAAAACTGTCTTCGATCTCTATCCCAGTCCATCTCCAATCTCTCATCCCAAATTCACTCACTCAACATTTCTGAGGAATCTAGAAGCCTATCCCCTCAAGAGCTTCATCTTAGATCTGCTTTGAAAGACCAGCTTCTCTCTCTTGCTCAAGCT